TTTTGTCAGTACAAATGCCTTACATCCAAAAACTTTGAAGTGATATACAGATGGTTTATGTTTTCTGTATATCTCAAAAGGGGTGGTGTCATTCAAGATTCTGGAACAACTTCGATTTCGAATATAGGCCGCTGTGGCAATGGCTTCTGCCCAAAATTGTTTTGGCAAATTAGACTGAAGCAGCATACATCTAGCCATTTCAACTAGTGTCCTGTTCATTCTTTCTGCCACACCATTTTGCTGCGGTGTATAAGCTGTCGTAAATTGTCTCTTGATTCCATTTTGTTCCAAGAATTTTGAGAATTTTGAACCACAGTATTCCAAACCATTATCCGTCCTTAAGATTTTCACCTTCTTCTCTAGCTGTGTCTCTGCATAGGTCTTGAATTTGATGAATGCTTCTTTCACCTCATCCTTTGTCTTCAGAAAATGTACTTCTACCCATCTCGATTTATCGTCGATGAAAGTGGCAAAATATAAAGCACCTCCTATAGATTTGCATCTCATGAGTCCGCAAATGTCTGAATGGATAAGTTCGATCAATTCATCTGATCTTTGCCTCGAAGAGTTTTTGAAAATAGAAGCTGTTTGTTTTCCTTTTATGCAAATTTCGCATGCTGATAACTGGTCTTGCTTTCCAAAAGAAATTCCCCTTACTAAATCACCAGATCTGAGTTTCTTCAGATCAGTTTCATTCAAATGACCATACCGTTGATGCCATATATCCAGTTCGCTTGCTTGAGTACTAGCTGCAGCTGTGGATTCTGATGTTACTTGTATGTAGTATAGATCACCTCTTCTTTCTGCTTTCGCAATCAGGTTACCTTTATCATTCAATATTTCAGCGTCTTGTTCAGAAAATACTATACTTCTTCCGTTGACTGTTGCTTTCGAAATTGACAGAAGGTTGACTTTCAAATCAGGAACATACAGGGTATTTTCTAATCTCAATTTCCTCAGATCGGAAGAAACAGTCAAGTGCACTGTCCCTTTTCCACAAATGTCTGTAGTCTTATCCACTGCGAGTTTGACTTTTTGATTTTGGATAGGACTCAAATCGGAAAAACTGAATTTATCATGACACATATGAGATGTAGCCCCGCTATCTAAGCACCAATCTACTATATTTGTTGAATTCATGTTATAAGCCTTCGGAATGCAAGTAATTTCTTCAATTTCTGAATTTCTATATACCATCATTGCTTCTTCTTCCACATTGGCAATACTTTGACGAGCTGCTATTCTTTTACGGCATTCGGAACTTTTGTGTCCTGGATTTCGACAGTAATTACATTTATATCTGAACTTACGTCGTTCATCTTGAGGTACATCTGAATTACCAAATTTAGCTGATGAATCTTGTCTTGGAGAGATAGATTTCCTTTGAAAGGTCTTCTGCTTGGAATAAAAGGCACCTTGTTGATTTTTATCTTCTTTGCTCTTCCTTGAATTGAACTCATCGATGAGCTTGATCATCAAAGATTCTGGTTTTGGTAACTCATCTCTGGTCTCTATAGCACAGCGGAAATTTCCATAATTGTTTGGTATGCTATAAAGGATCAAGATTGATAGTAGATCATCTGCGATGTCTATTCCCATTTCCTTTATTTTGTCAACCGTATCGGAGAATGCATTCAAATGATCTGTCATGTTATCTTCTTCTGACATTTTTGCGAAAAGTATTTGTTTCAGCAAAGTTGCTTTTCTCGCTGGCCCTTTCGATTCAAATACTCCCCTGAGTTTATTCCATACCGCATTCGAAGTCTTGCAATGCTTTATCAGGCACAGTTCGGAAGGCTGCATTGATAAAATGATATCTGCTCTGGCTTTTTGGTTCAACTTGTCCCATATCTCTGCTTGTTCAGCGTCATTTGCTCTTGTAGTTTTGCCGTTTACATAATTCCAGTAATCATTCTTTATCAGGATTGCTTCCATCTGTAGTTTCCAGGTATCGTAATTTGATTTGCCCAACTTCTCTAACTGCATGAGTGAAGTAGCCATATTACTCTGCTTCAAATTAATCAGTTTTCCTTATAATCTTAAACTGAGCATTCTGGGCCCATAACCATTGTTGCAGAGTGAAGAAAAGTGAGGAGAAACTTTCAGTTGAACTTTATCATAAAATATTCTGACACCTTGTCATCAAGTTATTAAACAAACTATACAGATCGATATCATAACAACGTTGATAAGTTCAACAATTATATTTGGCTTATTGAAAACATATTTTGCAAAACATTTCTTCGCAAGTGCCGGAAGTAATTTCGATGGTCTGGAATTTGGAATCGAAACTTCAATGAATGAAAGTTTCCTTTGATCTTCAATAATATGAATTTCTAAGTTGTCTCTGTTCCAGAGGCTGTTACAGGAAAATTTTGAGTTTGGTCCTCAAAAGCTTGATCTTTATTTGTTTCAAAAATCTGTTCATTATATTCATATTGCCTTTCAATATTATTTTGTGTTTCTCCAAATGAATATTGGTAATCATCAGCAATGAAATTCAAAGGGTCTGTTTGCTCTTGAATAGATTCAAAATTATTTTCATTTTCATTTGGAGGTTCATTTATTTGATAAATTTCTTCAGAAATGGAAGTTGGTCTCGATTGTGGTTGAAAAAAATTCCTTTGTTGTGAATTTTGCGGAGAATTGACATTTCTTGTAACTACGGACATAGGTGTTGGTTTATTTTGAGGTTCCTGATTTTTTGGTTTCCAAACATTTGCATTATTTGGCTTTCCAAAAACCTGTTGAGTGGTAAAGAACCTTTGTGGAACTTGTCGTGATTGAATTTGTATTGGTTGACTAGGAAAATTACGATATTGATTCGAAAAATTTTGATTTGGGAAATTTCTGTTCTGATTTGAATAATTTCGAATGGCGAAATTTATATTTTGACTCGAATAATTTTGATTTGGGAGATTTTTATTCTGATTTGCAAAATTTCAATTTTGGGACTCATTTTGTAATACAAAATGTTGAGGTGTCTGAGGTACTAGAGGTGTTTTGAAACTTGGTTGAGGAATAGACTGAAATTGATTTCTTTTACCATCATTAACTAGAGACAAGAAATTTCCTTCGTCCAGTACTTGATTGAGTACTTCTTCCAAAATACTGAGATCTTTCATTCTCACTACTGTCTGAATTGTGGATGGTAAATATTTCAAAAAAGTTACGAGAATTAATTTTTCAATATTTTTTATTTGAGCACTTTTTTCATGTACTGTGAGAGTATTGTATTCATAATATATTCTCTTTCTTTTTTTTTGGTCAACGTTCATCCAGATCAATGGTCATTGATGAACTCGATAAATAAGCCAAGTCTCGTAGGCGATTACAATCGCATTATCTGAAGACCACCCTGTAAAAAGGCTATTATTACATATTCTGGGTGCCCTTGAAACATACTTACCTTCAACCAATCTCAATAACTCCCTACCGCATATCTAATCTTCATTTCGAGTTGAATCATATCACGAGATTTTCATATTATGCAATATGCATTGAGCTCCGCAATCTCGAAAATAGACGAAATTCATGTTGTTTCACCCTCTAGCGCCGAATCTGGTCATAGGACCGAGTTGGGCCGAGAAAGACTTATACTCAGAATGACTTCAGCTACAACATATCAAAAATTCAACAATTTTCACCAAAATACATTTTCCTATATAATGTGTGCGTGGTCCTTTTGTGATCGAAGTCGAAATTCCGAGTTCAACCCTCCAATACGAAGATGATTTCAATAACATTAGTACTGACATCGTTCTGTGATACTGGATCCGAGAAATGCTATTTCATTTGTCATGTCGTACTTAGAAAGTGATTTTATTCATAAAAATGCATTATGTTATTTCTCTTCTCATCATCATTCAACACTATTTATAAAGGAAATGAACAATTAGGCCAAATCTTCTTCGGAGTTACCAAAGTTGTCTTTACCAGTGAAAAAGGTCCATACTTCGCGTTTTGGTTGAAAATTTGTTCTCGATGTGCAATAATGGGTGTTGTTAGTTTTGTTCCGATTCAGACCTCTTTTCGAGATCTTCTACTGACTCTGGTTCTAACTCTTGATCCAACCTGTAATCTTCTGAGCGCTCTCCAACCTTATCTTCCTCACTGGAATCTGGTAGTTCTGCCACCAAAAATGCTATTACATACTTTCCACTGAGGCAATTGCTCCGTAACTGAATGACATTAAGATAGCTAGCCGCCCAACCGAAACGAATTGCGCTGCGCAATAATATGGGGAGAATAGTATGGGCTCAGTCTCTCAGACGGCATGTTAGTCCTGAAGGGTCACAGTCGAAATTTTGATATTGAAGTCGAAATTTCGAGAAGGAAGTTTGAATTTCGGGATTAAAGTCGAAATTTCGAGTTCAAAGATGGAATTTCGAGTTTAAAGTCAAATTTTCGTGAAAAAATTGTATGTGGCAGTTCAGCGCCTACGTACGTTTCAATTAGCACGGTGACTAGAGAGCGTTAACTCCTAGGGTGAGAGGGAAGGAGCAGCTACCCCTCCCTGTCCCTCTCTGGCGACGCCCTTTTGCACATTGTATCAATTTGAATACACGAAATGACTGGGAAACTGGCAAACGAAGAACATTTCTGCAAACACCAAAATTCTCAGGAAGTATCGTTTGTTATATACATGATGATAATTCCATCTTTTTGTAATTGATGATTGATTGATTTCAACAACTCAATTTGGAAAAAATTCCTTCTGAAATTTGTGGATCACCTTCTTCATTTTCCTCAACTTGATGAATAACTTGTCGACTATCTATATCGGAATGAGTGCGCAAATTATGAATGAATCTGACTGAATCATAACGTAGAGAAATGAAATATTCTCGTTGAATATTGAACAAACAAAAAAAAGCGATGATTCTGAGAATTTGAACAGGGTGATTACAATTAGAATGAATATCTCCTAGTTGGAGTTGCAGTATGTTGGATTCATAATGAAACTCCTTGTGAATTAAATATCATTTTTTTCATTCAAGGTACAAGTGGATCAGGAAAGAGTCATGCTTCCATGTTACTGCTGAGGCAGCTATTTGCCGTAGCTGGGGGAGGACCAGAGACTGACGCTTTCAAACACTTAGCTGCCGCCTTCACAGTATTACGTTCCCTAGGTTCAGCAAAGACTCAGAAAAATTCGGAAGCAAGTAGAATTGTGAGTACCTGAACTAACCTTCTACGCAAACACTCTTCGTCAGGTATGTTCTTCATGATACGGCATGGTGTGAGAGGGGCGATTGAGTTGACAAAAGTCAACTGTCATTTGCTGTTGTCGAATTAATTAGTCACGGAATTCGAAAGATAGGAGTTTTCGAGTTCGACGAAAGATTTTGCTTCGCACCTCCGCAAACAACTGTCTATTGTCTTGCCTGTTCGCTAGCCTCGTCTTGACCTTGACTATGAATCTGCATATACGACTATGATAGACAGTTCTTCATTCTTGGTTCATTATGAATCCGAAAAACACTTTCACGTAACTAACGCATTAGATAATTTTAGAGATCAGTTACGTAACGTGTGAGGTAATAAGTTGGCTCAAATCCCATGAGATTACTGTGCATAATGTCCGCAATACGTTATATCATACGATACATCAATCCTTTATTGTAATACTTCCTACATAATTGTTTTATCAATAAAATGTCAATGTGAAGTCAGAATCTGGACATCATTCACGTATTACTAATGAAATTGCTAAGTTACTGTAATGAGAATATTGGTTTTGAAAAATACAAAATGATAGTCAGTCTAATTAATATGAACCGTCTTCATTCAACAGCAAATAAATCATGAGAAAGTGAAATTCCCCAGCTTATATGCTACTTATATTTTGGAGAACAAACAGTGTATGGCAAAGTATAGAACATAGGAATGGAACACGCAACAGGAACCAGCAATTTTGCATATTCTCACCTATCACGAAAAAGTGTGGGTGAGCGTTCCTATGAGCGTATATATTTATTTTGAGCCACAAAGATTTGGATTTTTTTGCCAGAGATCTACAAAACCCACATCCTTAAGAATGACTGCTTCAATTTTTTCAAGGAAATTCTCGATCATTGCTTGCATTCGATAAGAGAAGAATTATATAGGATCATAACGAACAATGAAACAAATGATTCCCTGTCATTCACTCTACCATGTTTTATCAAATGCAACAAAACTTGTATGATCTATGCCATATGGTTTCATATATAGTTTTTCTCAGAATGACAGATGTGCAAACACCTATGCTTATGCGCAACCTATTGGTCTTCATTGTTCATTTCTGTTCATTCACATCTTATGAATATATACAGTTGGTGCATATCCCAGGTCACAATCTGACGTCATTTGTACGTCAATATATGGTCGTTTATAGTCATTGAAGTCATATAACCTCAAAATAACGTCATTTTTACGTACTCAATATGACGTTATATAGACGTCCTTGATATGCGTTCAATATGACGTCATCTGATGGTCATTATCATGACTAGTTATGACCATTATTCATTGAGTCATCTACATCAAGGAAAACTCATAATCAAGGAGTTTACCATCATTGTTATATGAAAACGTTAGTAGTAATGTTATATAACATATATTATTATGTCACTCATCATATAATATGCTTCATACTAATTTTTCTTTCAATCTGTGCGAGCTGTGTGTTTTCGATGGTCTCTGAGATAATTGTTAATCATATACCTTCTGTGCCAACTATTCTCCTTATAGCTATTGAAAATATCAGACCAAATTTCACGTCATAAAAAGCTTATAACGTTGTTATTCCGGAATGCGAATTCAAATCAGAGCGGAAGAGTGGGTAGCAAACTGTACTTGATTGGTCGGCACCTCGTCGGCACGGACCTTGCGCAGACATGCGAACGACGACCGCCGGCGCCAAGCCAAGCCAAGCGGCTAAGCGCCAAGCAGTTGCCGTTCACTTTCGCTTCGCCGTTGCGGCCATGATGACCATAACAACAAAATAACAATACATAGAAGGCCATCATTATCATGTTATTTGGCATTATATGTGGTGTGGTGGTCATATACTTATTCATATTCATGTATCAAGTAGTAGAATTTGAGGATGGCAGCATGGTCATCATTTTAGACAAGTGGTATTCACCGAAAAAGCAGAATGTGAATTGGCCGCCATTGACGGAATACCATAGGGCTCTGAGAAATCTCTCGAGTGCATCATCCGAATGGGATGAGTTCAAATAGAAAGAATATTTTATGAAACCTACCTATAATATCATTTCGTATTTGATGCGGTGAAGGAACATCAATATAATAAAAAAATCTTATCTTGTCTGATAATATTGATACAACCCTAATACTACAGTGTTTTTTTTACCTAAAGAAACTTTCGAAATAGCACAACATTAACTGAAACGTGCAGAATATTTCAGTGATATGAATAATCGTAAAAATTACGTCATCTTGACGCCATTAGGATGTCGTCATTTTGACGCCATAAGGATGACGTCATTTTGACGACATGGAAATGACGTCATTCGTCTTTGACTCAAAAGGTCATATAATTGCTATCATGACGTCATTTTGGAAGTCGTCCTGACGTCAGGCCTGACGTGATGATGACGTACAAATAACGTCACCTTGTTACCTAGGGTGCTTGCCTACCTACTAATTGAATGGCATTTATGTATTTGTGTGTGATATAAATGTGTATACTATAGGAGTCACGTGCATGGAAAATGTTCACGAGCCAAGAAAACCGTTTACGCTGTCAAAGATAAGCCCAACTCGACCAGATATGATTTGAATGATATAATTCTATAATTGATTCATTCTCTTGCTAGTTTTCGTACAGGGTGATTCACCATGAATGTCCCTCCCTCTAGCTCAGTTATTTTTGAACCGATTTCAAAATTTGAAATATCATCTTGAATGATTTTCGATAAAGTTTTTTTCCGCTAGATCAGAAAATACAGGATGCTCGGAACAAACGATCTACAGGGTACTATCTGATTTTTTTAAATGAAACACCCTATTTTTTATTGTATTTTTATATTCTCCCTGAAGAGCTGATTTGATCAATGCATCACACTTGTGGTCTAGCGGGACTGATTACAGAGATATAAGGTGTTCAAAATCGAGATTTTTAACCTTAGGATTTTTTTGTAACGAAAGAATCTAAAAATACAATAAAATACAGGGTGTTCCATTTGAAAAAATCAATAAGTACTCTTTAGATCGTTTGTTTCGAGCACCCTGTATTTTCTGATGCAACGGGAAAAAAATTTCTGAAAAATCATTTTAGATTTTCTTTCAAATTTTCAAAACGGTTCAAAAATAAGTGAGCTAGAGGGGGGGACATTTATGGTGAATCACCCTGTACATGACAACCTAGGATGTATTCCAAACATAACTGGAGCTGATAAGTCATAATTATCATTAGTATTATTATTATTGATATCGAGAAGTTGCGTTGAGAAAATTAAACCATTTTCAAAAAGCCTCTCCGTCGTTAAACAACCAACACTTAGGTATAGTGACTATCTACGCCACGATCAGTCTCAGCACATTGCGATGGCCCTTTCATTATTTATTCATACGATTTGCTCATTATCATCTCATCGATTACTCATTCGCCCTGACTCTAATTAATTTATCCATTGATATTATTATTGTTATTCTGCAATTATTATTGAAATTATTACTACTATATCAATGATGAATCATACTTATTATCACTGTTATGATTATTTTCTGAATATACAATTCATTATTATCACCATCATTTTCATAATCATCTCTAGAGGTCGTGTCTGCCACTTCCGTATTCCATCCTTTGCCATATCAAAATATCACCTTCTTGAATTCCAAATCCGTATGTGATAGTTGCTGCCGGGGGGTTCTCCACCTTTCAGAAATCTGTACACCCTTATCCCTATGATCCCACAGAATCTCACTGAAATCCCACGAAATCCCACTGATATCTCATGGAATATCACTATAATTCCACATTCTCGTACACCATAACTTCAAGGTGATTTACCCCTTGGTTGCTGCCAAGCATCATTCAAAATCATCTGATCTTTATATTCCTGCTCTCTATGGATTTTATATTAGTGATCTAAAACAAATACATGAAACAATAATCAAATTTCCACATGAAATTTCTGCGAATTTCTGACTCGACTGATTATGTACCTTAAATTGCTTATCAATGCAAAGGACCATCATCTATCTTGCGGAACTTGTTTTTTTGTTATATGTAGAAAAACATGCATCAAATCGCAGAAAAAAGAATTGACACAGTATAGCCCACCCCCACTCCTTCCAGATTTGACACCACTTTATCATGTGACTCGACTAGCTACTCGCGGCCGCGCGAACGGTGCTAAATTCGAAATGCATCATCATCATCGACTTAGGTTGAATAGCAATGAGAAACTATATAGAGAAACTTCTGGCGTGGCAAGCAAACATATGTTAGACAACTATGTCGAACAACTCGTGAGAAATAAAATAGATCAGTGTTTCACCAAGTGCTAGCGAAATATGTCAAGTGCTCACTACCAAAACTCGTTATGTGAAGGAACGCTAGATGCTAAAGGCCTTATAGGGATTAGCGATTATACAAAAAAATAAACATAGCAGCCTCCACACAGAAGAACATAAACCCGTCAACCACTCTACAAAAAAGATTCTCCATTGACCATTGACCGATATGCATGAGTCCAAAAATTCTCCAGCCAATAAAAATGATATTCAAGGTATCTGGAAATCTTTAAATATGCTTCTCATGATGCTAATCACTATATAACAGCTCAGTGTTTCACCATAGGGAGTATTCTGGTTGATTCGTGAAATATGTCAATCAACTCTCTATCAGAACTCGCAATGTAAGATTTTGGGGCACAAGGGGTTAGCGACGTGAGGCATGTTTAGTGCGATGGGGTATAATCCGCCAGGAGCCATATTTTGCGGAATGAGGATCATCTTTCGGGTAATCTGATATATCATGAAAGCATACTTGATCAGAAGTACAGGAATTCTGTCACAATAAAATCTCATATATTGTGGGCCACTTCTCATCAAAATCCTAAGATATTCTCCCTGAAGAACACCAGTCGCGCGACCTGATAGATCGTGAAACGTATACCTGATCATATAACTGCAGAAATATATCTTCCATTC